AGGTCTGCCAAACGCCGGCAACAGAACAACTACCCCCAGTAGGGCATCTCGCCTGAGCCTTCCGCCCCTCCCATCTCTCCCTCTCTCTCTTTCTCTCTCTCCTTCTCTGTCATTGTCTTTAATTCTTCTGCCATCTGTCTTCCTCGTTCACACTCGCTCACCCCCCCCTTCTCCAGCCAGGGATTAGCCACATGTTTGGCACTCCTTTTTGTGAGAATTTTCTAAATCCTCACCACCTCCTCAGTTTTTTTTTTAAGTCTTTTCACAAACTTCTTTGTCATAGCATGAACACTACTACATTGGCTTTGGATGTTGTCATGTAGACATCACACACACATGTATTATTGGTGCATAACTAAGAATGTATTGTCATTTGGGATGTTGATTAGTTAGATATGCAAGGGGACCATTGCAATGTTCAACTCCTGAGGTCATCTGAATGAAAATGTCAAAAAAGTGCCTCAAGATATTTACAAAAAAGTCTGCAGCCCCCACTATGTCCCATCGTAGGCTGTGTTTTATGGTCCAAACACAAAATGAGTGAACACTACAACCATGTTAAAATGCTAAATTACTGTAAGTTTCATCATCTCAGAATAACACATCATTGAGTGAAGGTTTTATGATGTATTATCATGTGCTTTTCTTATTGTTTGCCCACAGAAAAAGGAAAAGTCCACCAGAAATAAAAATAAATAAATAATAACATCTCACTTTGAGTCTCCAGAGCGATAAATGGCAGAGCGGTGACACAAGCATCCCATCAGTACTGCTGTTTTAAACGCAAAATGTCAGCTGTAAATATACTCCTGTACAAAAAATGCCAGACCGATATCGCTTACTGACCCAAACTGATTGACTCTTCGCATCATGTTTACAGTACAAACGGACATTTTTTTCTTTCATGAATGTGTGGGAAAAATGTACATTAACTGGTATATCAGCTCAATTGAGTTCAATATCAACCTTTATCAACAAGAATATTAAACTATTTGGGTTTGTTTAGACTCTTTTAGAGCCACAAAACATGTTACATACACTCCTGATTGCTCCATTTAAACAGTCAGC